ACGGCTGTCCTTGTCAGGTCTCCATCCTGCACCACTGACAAGGGGAAACCACATCGGAAAATATTCCTGATGAACTTTCTCGGCCAATGCAGGGATCGAACACCTGACGTCCAGGTTAGCGAGCCAGCGTCTTACCCACTTAGCCACTGTGGCTCCATAAGTATTAAGAGCAAACTAAAGAAACAGAAAAATAGCATTTGGCAAGCTGTTCACTAAAAACAACTGAAAGCATCTGACTATTTTGAAATCTAATTCTTTTACAAATAATCTTGTAATAAAAAACTAAGATGTTAACATTTGAACTAAAAGGTTTCCAAGATACTTCCATAAATATAAATCGGCTACACCACAATCAACAGCATGGGTTCTGGAAGAATGTATTCTTGTAACATTAACTGTTTTATCAGACATACATAGCAACAATACATCTTCCTTATCCTATAAATCTAGCAAATGTTACAGAAATTCAGGACAGAGGGATAAATCTATGTCAAGCAAGTTAATCCTAGGTTTTGTGGCAAATCCACCAAGAATGAAAAAAGGATTAGAGAAACCATTAATATTAAGCCATTGTAAAGTAGTTGTAAGTGATAATGAATACTGCAGTATTCCCAAGTCTCACTTTATGTTAAATAAGTTAATACATGAAAATGTTTTGAACTTTCAAACTAATTTTGTGACAAAATCACATGAACAATTCTCACAAATGGATTCTTCTAACCAAAATTACTCTCATAATTAATAATTATATTAAAGCTTTGACATGTCAACATAATTTACTATTTTTCCTTTTCTAAATAGTTTTAGTAATTTTGATAATGTATTTGTAATCCGTTTAAAGCAAATCACGCACACAAATTTGATCTTCGTGTCTCTATCAGTTAATAAACAATGGGTTTTAAAGAATCAAACAGGGACTTATCTATTTGCTGATCAGTATTTAATTGTTACTATATAGGATAAATTTATATTGATTCAATATAAATAACGATACAGAAATATACTTTAAAGCTCTATAAGTAAGACTTATGTCTTGGGTAACAGATAATTAAAAAAAACCAGATGACATAATGTTTTTATCTGGAACTTCCTTGTCAGATATTAAATCTTTTTAAAAGATCATTTAATATATCCTGCTTCTTAAATCTTATTGAAAAAACAAAAAATAAACACAGGTAAAATCTCCTTACTTCTGCTCTATTATTTTCTCAATTTCCGAGATTCATCTTATACTATAGGAAGATATTTAGTTCAAACAGAGAAATGTCATTTGTCTGGGAAACCAAACTGGATAAATGTATAACTAACTAAAAAGACGTTTAAATCTTTTGAAGGATCCTTGTAATCATCCTAAGACAAGACTTTGCCCACACAGGTCGATATCTTTTGATCAAACAATACTCTTGGGTAATTGAACTATATTCATATGGGTTATATTTTAAATGGTTCCGAATCATGACAGACAATCCTCAATTTGAGATAACAAATTATAGAATATTTCACTTTGATCATCTGTCCAAATTTGAAAATATATTGAAAATATTTGTCAAATACAAAGAGAGACTGAAAATATGTTCCTTTTGATACATATCTTTTCTTATGTATTAGTCAGTTAGATCAGGTCTTATATCAAATCAACCTGACTCTTGACTACCTGGTACCTTGAATTGTTTAACCTACAAGTCAAGCGACTTGTAATTACGGACATCAATTTCATGCATTCTATGATTTCATGTATTATTATAACTCAAATCCATGCATCACTTAATTTTTCCTCTCTTGAGGAAATAATTGACTCAGTCGCCTAGCCAGACAATATCAGAATCCAAATGGCTGAAACAGGTATAATTATCTAGAAGCACTCTCTTGATCTACCCAGAGATGAGCAAAATTCCCCTTCTACCCAGATTAATCTCAGTTTTGATTAGAATCTTTGCGAGTTTATGGAAGGCTTTTTCCATACCAAACAATTATTAGCAATTATCCTTTCACCATCAACAAAGCTTAATTTTAAAAATTCAATACATCGAGAGTGTATATTTCCCAGATTCAAAAGAAATTAATTTTAGATAATAATTAATATATTCCTTCTCATCTGATCATCTATATAGCCATCAAATAATAGCTACTGATATTAAAGTCATCAGCATTATTTATATCAAATATATTGTAAAATGGGTTGATAGACAAGATGACAAGCAGATGTAAATCTTTGTGTCAAATGTCAAATTAATAATTGATATTATTGTGCAGACATAGAGTCATTAACGCTATCTGTGTGGCAGGTGAGCTAAAATTGCAATCCTTAATTTACAAAAATTAAAAAATCACTCTCCCAGTATGGCCAATTGAGAAGTTTGGGTCAATTATTAGAGTTATAATATAAGAATAAGGAGAGTGATTTCTTTCATTTGTTAGACCGGGGTATTTAGAATATAAGTCTATATGCAGCCAGGACTTTATTCCAGGTGATAACTAAACTTTATGGGGATTTGAAACTGTAAAGTATGTAATAAAAAATTCTCTATGTTCTTTCTGGAATGGTAGAAAAATTGCTACTTATGGCATAAAATATGAATAAAAGTAAACTTTTTGTGAGAACTGATCACAAACAGTATTATAGGCCCCAATGACCTGGTTTAACTAACTTGGTAACATTCCTAGATCAGTGAGCAAAAAACACATCAATATGGTATATTCTGAAATTCATCATATCATCCTAAAGGCCAAATTATAAACCAAAACCGGAGACAGAATGTTCTTATTGCATGACCATAGTGGATAAAGACTAAAAACACTATTAGTTTCCACATATATCATTATTTATTATAAGGGAATTGTCTTCATTAAGGGATGTTATATGTATGACGTCATCTTAAAAAAGCTTTTATAATGAAATATATACTAATGCAGTTAATCTAAGAAAGCTTTCTTAAGATGTATATGTTAAAGGGCTTATGACTCTACTCTTTGGAACCTTAAAAATACATCAAAATTGGTCTAAAAAGCACATATTAATTTAATATAAATGTATATGAAGTGATTTATATTCAATTTTTTAAAAAATTATTGTAATTTCTAATTAATTTTGTTTGATGAAATAAATGAACAGTCCAGACTGGGTGACATTTAAGCCTGCTTAGTTCATTCTACACATTTTCTTTTTATTATTTAATATTTTGTCAGTTGTGAATCAGCCATTAGTAATTACTTCCACAAAGTCTTGTAGGATACCAGTATGTTTTTCTATCTTCATTACAAATGACGTACAAACCATAGAATCCATGACTATTGCACTGGTTATAAAATGTTCATTGTGTCTCAAATATTGAATAAAAGAATCATAAATTTTCACAGCATGATAACAACTTGAATATGGATTGAAATGGAATTTATTGAATTTTAATTCGAGTTTTCAATTTCAAAACTATGGAAGATAATGAGTAAGAGGTTTAGCTCCTTAAAGTTATTTTCTGGCCATTCATTAAGAACTGATTGACTCAGATTAAGGAAGTATTTCCAAGGATTTAACAAATATGAGTATAGCATTAGCAACAGATCAATAATAACTGTATCAACTGATTTGATTGTACTTCTGTTCATTACTTGATAAAGGTAAAAAAAAACAACCCAAAATAGCCATGATTAAGTGAATTTATTACTCTTCTTATACTGTTAACATTAATGGAAGCTGTTTTTCATATAAAAGATTGACTTGCAACTATTGACACCTACGTGTGAAACAAATTAATCTTAACTGGCACTTAAGTCTAACTGGGATACATCTAAAAAGAATCTTGTCTAATGACTTCCTACTATTGAGGATTCAGATACAGTTTCCCGTGCCTGTTGCATACTGTCTAAAACATTAAAAACTATTACTATTAGTTAATCACTGTAGGAAACATTTAAAAAGAATCTTGTCAGATCACTTCCTACTATTGGGAATTTTCTCGGCTCGCTGCAAACTGTCCCAAACATTAAATTATTACTATTATTAACAGCAGTTTGAAATAAATGGAAATGCCTGTGTGGTCGTTAAATAATTTTTTTCCCCCCATCTATTCTGGCAATTGATGTTGAGATGATTTGGCTTTTACATTTTAATTCCCCTCCAAAAAAGACAGAATTAAAATCTGTACAACAGACTAACTTCTGTTCATCCTACTGAAAGAATAATATCATCATCATTTTTTTTTTTTGCCTATCCAATTATGTTGAGCTAAAGCTTGAACATTATTATAAATAAAAAAAGAAGACAAAATCAAAATGTAAACAGACTAACTCCTGTTCATTCTACTGCAATAATAATATGATAAATATCATGCTAGCCCAATTACTTATTTAGATAATATCGGATTAACTCAATTGAAATCATTTTTTTTTTGTCCAAGTTTAAACACCCACTAGTATCTTATGAATCTTTACATGTACAGAGAACAGTTTATTAGATAATACTCTTTACAGAAGATTAATCGGCTTTAATTCAACAATTAACTTTTATTTATTTAAAAGATTTCACTTTTAATCCAGTTATACCAAAAACCTATTAAAAGATCAAGATCTAGAATTTAAAATATTGATTGATATTGATCAAATATCAACGATCATTCAATACTGATAGATTAAGTGATCAATAATCCATCAAATACCTGTATGATCAAACTAATATGTCATATTCACAATAGCACATCAATCAGCTTTCATTAATTTCCGTTAGCGATTTAAAGGTTCAACATAATGAAATCGTCGAACCAGTCTCCCAGGAGCAATACAATAAATAATCAGAAGTTTTATAATAATAGAAATTATACAACAAAACAAACAAGAAACAATTATATTATTTGCTTCATTCCTACTGCCATTAGCAATTGCACACATTTGTTATTGCGGACATAAATAATGGATAACCATACTTTTTCATGTATTTTCAAATCTCAAATGTTCTGTCAGATAAGATTAACATATATTTTAAATCTTGTTTCATTTTTCTTTTTCAGATCAAGCATCAAATAATATCAAAGTGAAGTGAAGACAGGGTTGTACAGGAAATATTCTTTACAACGTTAAAAACGATTCTGTGATAATTCTATAATCAAATGACATTCAGAAATTACTCTCAAGTCAGCTGTGCAAAGTGAACTTTCTTAAAATGGGAGACTACGGCAACTTAACGGATTATGAACCAATTGGTCTGGATCTGGAAGCTCTTTATGCACATATGCGAAACTATCCAAACGTTATTATCCTAACTGTTGCATTGGGAATTTTATTTCTCATAGGAACAATTGGTAATATATTGGTGGTGGTTGTGTTCGCGAGAAGTTTTGTAAAACATAACTCAACATATTTAATTCTAACTTTGGCTGTGGTGGATTTGTTGATAAATTTGATTAATATTCCTGGTGTTTTATTGAGAGAATGGTATATACCATTTCGTATTGATATTGTTTGTAAGCTATGGGAAATGTTTCAAATGGCCACTATTCCTATATCTGCCTTAATCCTTGTAGCCATTGCTTTTGATCGCTACTTTCTGATATGTAAGGCATTTGAAGGTCCCATTTCCACGTTTTGGTCTCGCTTGTTTGTTGTGGCTGCTATTGTTATTGGTTTCATACTAGGAATACCGCCTATGTTGGCTGTTGGTGTTTACAACTATGAATACCATGGCTTGTGTCAACCAAACTTTTTAATAATTGATAAACAAACATTAGATAATTATTGGAAATTTCTAACATCATTATTTGTGTTGATCATAATCATCCTGACCACGCTATACGTTTTCATTTTCCTTAAAGTTTACAAACAGAGCAAGAAATGGAACGGTGTTCGCAAGAACAAAATTATTCCTAATCAAAAAAAGAATAAACAAGACAAATCTTGTACAGAAGAGATCCGAGATCCCTTGGGAAATGTAGTTGGTCACAAGCACCCAAGAATTAAATTCCACAGATTTGAGAGGTTCCAACGCTTTTTTGGTTGTCATGATGGAGATGAAAGCAAACTATTTGAGAACAAAAATAATGTCTTTTTAGTAAATGTGACACCCATACGGAACCAAGAGACAACCATTACAGAGAATCAAGATCGAGAATACACAGCAATCGAACAACTGACACCAGAATCGTGCAGCAAGAATAAAAATGTTAAGACGATTAAAAAAGCAGCCAAAAAGGTCAAAAACAAAACAGGTGCCGAATATCAGGAAAAGAACCATCGTCAGAAGAAAGCCCACATTAAAACAGCTAAAGTTTTGTGCATTGTAACAATTATCTACATCGTTAGTTATCTACCGACGTTTGTTATCACACATAGCCCTATACACAACAATATATTTCTCTTTTATTTCTATTTCATTCACAGCGCCTCCAATCCTGTTATCTATTCCTTCATGAATAAACAATTCAGAAATGAGATTAAAAAACTATTCAAAATAACCAAATAATGCGGATGTGATCTTCACCAAAAATGGATTATTTTGACACTGGTGTAGTTTAAAGTATTGGATTTCTGACTTTACTGACATATATTGATAATATATAGTTTTAAAAGTTTCAGTGATATTTAACAATGTGCATATTCTATTTTCTTCCTACGACTTCAGATTTAAATACTAACACTTTTTCCAAGTAACTAGATCTCTGTGGATTATCTTATCTTATTCATTTTCACAAAAAATCATTGGGTTTGTTCCCTTATGATCTCCTAAGATTTACATAACTTAATCATTTTTTGAACAGAAATGTCAAAATCCCATGTGATAAGTTAGTAATTGATATCAATACTAACTCCATAGAGACGAGAGATTAATGTTCAAAATTCAAAGTCACTTCAAGTGTATATATATGGCATCATCGAGATGGTCTTTGTCAAGGTAAGAAAAGACAAGTTGGTCGGAAAACATAAATTCTCATCCATGATAGATGAGAATCAAATTATAAATGACAATATGGGTTATTTTTATGAATTAGGACCTGAGTTTCCAACCTCTGGCTTGCAACTCCGACTGGGGTCACAGAGCACTGGGGTCATGATGGACTACTCTGAAACTTTTGAAAAAGTGTTATGTTTTCAAGAAAAGCATATATAAATCTTTGATCTATACACCTCTTGCCAGATTGCCAGTCGTCTTTCCTCTCTCATGCTCACGATTTGTTTCCTCAGTCTATCATAACAACATTTTGATCTGTAAATAATGATGATGTTTCATAGTAAAAGGTGACTGTTCTTTGAGGGGTCGCGATCAGATGATGGTTTCTGAAATGGGGTCACAACCAGCAAAAGTTTTGAAACCACAGAATTAGTAGAATAATTTGTGTATTTTAGACCTACGGCCAAAATATATTAATTTATACCCCTTTAGGGTCTTAATGTACAGTCACTGGTGTCCTGAAAACAGTTCTTAAAATGTCTTTTTAACAATTGTGCTTTAGATCACAAAGTCTATGATTGAGTGAAATGTTGTGGTTTCTGTCCCAGGCCTGTAAATTGAATGTGGTTATCCTCCCACTGATAAAGACTCTGGCACATAAGTCAATTATCGATTTACCATACACGTTAAGTTTGAAAATAACATAATCTCTCAATCTCTCTTGTAAAGCTTTGTAAATCATAAACAAAAATTTAAAACAAAGAAATGTCAGAACACATGCAATATATTTCTTTTAAGCTAAGCTGTGAAGGCCTTGATATGATCACATTGTCTGATCTAAAGCATAAAAGAACCTTTTAAAAATGTTTCGAAATTAAATTTTACTTTCCCTGAAAATTTAATACGAGAAAGTGTTAAAATCTTTTAGCTACATAAAATCCATGCCTTAAGCAAGTAATAACAAATAAATAAGGTGTACAATAAGATGGAAGGAATTGGATTGTGCAGAATACAACTTATTTACTTCCCATTTCAAATACAGTCAGTTACAATTTTGTGATAGAGTGTGACACAATAAATTATATTAAGAATCTTGTTAAAAAAGCGTTGTATATATATGTATATATATTACTATCTTTTCTTCGATAAGGAATTATGTTCCTAGCACAAATTGTTATTTATTGCCAAAGAAATTATTTAAAAATGAAAATCTATTAGGATCTTGTAAAAAAGGATTGTATATTACTACCTTTCTTTTTGATAAGGAATTATGTTCCTAGCAAAGATTGTTATTCATTGCAAAATAAATTATTTGAAAATCAAAATCTTCTATAAATAGACTCATAAAATAGATTAAACTATTAATTGTATAATTTTATTACACATTATTGTATAATGCAGTACCAATTTTAAGGTATTATTATTATTATTGTATATAAACTTATAATGTATATTGTTGTAGAAGTCAGCTGTCTGTTTCTATATTAAATTCTATTGATTGACAAAGTATTCTGTGATATATCTTCTATTAATATTAAGAACATCTTTCATGGAATTAATCCATTAATTTCTTTTTTGTACCAAATCAATTTGTCCTAGTAAAATGACAAATTTTAAATTGACATATTTCATATTGCATATCATCGTTTTTTTTTCTTTATAAATTACCTTAGTTTCATCCTTACAAAAGACTTGTACATAGAGGTTCTATTGTTATTGTTGTAAATAGAGGTTCTATTGTTATTGTTGTAAATAGAGGTTCTATTGTTATTGTTGTAAATAGATCCATTGTTATTGTTGTGGATGTCAGATGTGTCTGTGTCTATATAAATTCTACTATTTAATCAAATATTCTGTGATATATATCTTCTATTAATATTAAAAACATGTTTCATGGAATTAATTCATTTCCTTTTTTTTTTTTTTGAACTAAAACAATTTGTCAAAGTAAACTAATGACAAATTGTATTGGCATATTTCATATCAATCGCTTGTTTAATGATCAATTTATTATCATTCATCCTTACAAAACACAGCTATTTTAGACTTATCTAGACCTATTATAATTTAAGCTCTATCTATTGATGGGATCCAAGATGGATCGAGAAACGTCTTCAGGATTTCCAAGCGTGGGTTCCCTTTGTAAGTGGTCCACCCATGTAATTGTTGGTGTGTATGTAAAAGAAACCCGGACAGTTGGAATTCACTGATCAAAGAGTCAGCAGAAATGCTACCGTGTGGTGGTCAAAATTTCCTGTTCTTGCCCCCTGCATAATGCCTGTTTTCATTAATCCAGTTAATGCAGAAAAACGCATTTTAATTTATTTCCTGATACTACTTATAGATCAATGCAAAGGTAGGATGTACTTAAAAGATAAACACTTACTGTTTCTAATTTGGATGGTTATTGTGCTATAGAGATTTGTGCTACAATTGTCTACTGAGATAATGAAGTTGAGATAACATGATCATGTTATACAGATTTGAATAATATTGTCAGTCTGTGGAAACCACAGGTGCAAAACCAATCAGATCAGTGATATCATGAGGTTATTCCCAATATAAATATACCGTACTAGAGATACATTTTTTTTTTTTTTTTAGAAATGGGGTTTAACGTCCACTCAACACAAACTAGGTCATTTCGGAACTAACATATGGTTTAATTTTTATTTCAATAATTCACTTGCGCATAAGGGTCTTTAGCAGTGGGAGGAAACCGGAGGACCCGGAGGAAACTGGAGGACCCGGAGAAAACCCACGAGGTTGGAACTAGAGATACAACATAAGTATTGAAAAGCTCTGTTTTTGTAAGGATGTATAGACTTAATCACTTGAAATATCATAATTGAGACTTTTATTCTGGACAACAATGAATTAATTAAAATACACCCTGAAGACCAAAATTATGGTTGAAATTAACATAAGAAGACCAACTGTCTATTACATTTTTTTAAAAATGTCTGAGTTGCTTCTTGCCATTTGAAGTAACAGATGCCTATCATTAAAAACACTAAGCCAATTTATATGGATCAATGACTGGTTTATTATAAATATGTCACAGTGCCACTCTTTCCACTGGTGTTCTCTCATGTTTTCAAACACAAATGATATCAGATAATTATATCAGGGTATGTTAACAAGGACACTGATTACCAACCATGTTTTGAAAGGTGTTATGTTGTATAATAGAGAGAGAGAGAGAAATGGGGTTTAACGTCCACTCGACACATAGTAGGTCATTTCGGGACTAACATATGGTTTTTAATTTTATTTCAATAATTCGCTTGCACGTAGGGGTCTTTAGCAGTGGGAGGAAACCGGAGGGCCCGGAGAAAACCCACAAGGTTGGACAGGCGACCCTACTCCTTGTCATGTACAACCGGGGATTCGAAACCACACCAGTCGACTCAATGACAGACTTTATGATACAGCGCGTGCACGCTAATCATTCAGCCATCCAACCCCCCTGTTGTATTTAATGTCCTACATTTCTGTAGAGCATATGCCATACAGTGTGCTATTATGGTAATTATGCCAGCAGAGCATTTCAAATTCCAACGGATTCTTTGACATGCATGCCAACATGTACACAATATCTTTTTTTTCAATCCATTCTAGCAACTAGACACTGTACTCTGTCAGGCTCTTCTGAGAACTGAGGAACTTTCTCGGCCAATAACCCAAGATCTCCTTGACACCCCTGATAATTTATAAATAATATATACTACCTGTAAGTTGTTACTTAATTTGTTACATTACACTTATACTAGAGAGAACAAACTGTGTATTGAAATTAACATGACTAGTTACACAGTTATATTATTTATTTCTTGCTTGTATTAATTTCTTGTTTTATCATGACCTGTGCCTTTAATTTAAAGTAAGACCCAATAACTTCCTTATGAGTAAATCTTTGAAAAAACAAACATCATTAAGATTGAAATTAAGGTAAGCAATCACAATTGCTTTAATATGAATCTATGAAAGTCTTTTATTTGTGTAATGAACAACTGTGAACTTATACATAATTTATCCATGACATGTTTTTTGGCATGCATATCCTTCATATTCCACAGGCAATGGTTTATCAGCTCATTATCATTGCTACATTTACTATGGAAAAGTTGTGAAATTAATTTGAATGGGCTTTAACATCCGACTTTTCTGCAATGACTAGGCTAATGAAGATGATGGGAAAGTGGGATGGAACAGGGTTTAATTACTCGTCAACATAAAGCCCGATTGAAATTCTGAATGATCCATAACAGGTTTAGATCTAAAAGAAATGCAAAGAAAAAACTCCCAAGTGTTTCTACAATTTTGATTAGTCTGCAAGCCGATATGCTAGTTACCACTGCTTGGGAAACATGCTTATTGATACACTTTAGAATGTCGAAGAACATTTTAATTGAAATGGAATGTCTGTTTATAATATATATCATTGATCTCAAATTTACATATTTATTATAAATATTATTAATGATGCATGTACATATTTCTTGCTATCTGACATATATACAGCTTTAAAACTTTACAAACATTTTTTTGTTCTTTTGTCTGGTCTATAGAAATAATAAGATCATGTTCCTTTGAAAATAATGTCGAGGTTGGCAATAAAAAGCATATTAGCACATGCCAAAGTTGGGGCCCTTTAAAAAAGAAGTAGCTTAAGAAAGGACTAGATAGATGAGTATAAAGTGAGAGGGAAATGGGGTTTAACATTCACTCGACACAAACTATATAATTTCGGAACTAACATATGGTTCAATCGCTTGAATGTAGGGGTCTTTAGCAGTGGGAGGAAACAGGATGACCCAGGAAAACCCATGAGGTTGGACAGCCCTACTCCTTATTAGATGAGTATAAAACCTCCAGACACTTAACGGACAACCCAGCTTGTTCCTGTGGCCATTATATAGAGGATACGGAACACTATTTGTTACACTGTCCAAATTTTACCAATGTTAGATTCCAAACTATAAATACGTTATATTACAAAATATTTTTCTTAATTTACAAACTCTAACCAATGGTGATAGTAATAATACCTTGCAAATGAATACGCACATTTTTAATACAGTCCAAAAATTTATACATTTATCCAAAAAGACTCCAATAACCATCGTAAAATACTAGCTGAATAAATTACTTTCTCGGTTAATATATATCTGACTTCCTCAAAACATCATGCGAAGCAAGCATATTATGAAATAGTAAGGCACTGTAAGTGACACAAACTATTAAATTGCTTATATGCATGATTAATAGTAAATAGAAAATACCATACTGTTAAATGCATTTTGTATCTTAAGTGTATTTATTACAATTGTATTTGTAGTATATTTATTAAATAAGGAGACGAATTAATATAAGCCTTTCGCTTGTTTTTGAATCCTTACCCTTTGACAGTGTATGTATACAATATCTATATTATTTAAATAAAATATTGTTTAAATCAAAACCTCCAGACCAACCACTATGATTTCCTCTTTCATTACATAAATTTCGCAATATTCAAATAGCTGTGACTCTTCCTCTATAGTACTAATTATATCGATTTCTTAATTAGCGTGTCGACAAACCAGACTCTCCTTATACCTTACTACATTATTTCACAGCTGGTAGCAACACATTAGAGGAAGTGGTAAAATTACAAACAGCGAGGATGTTCAAGTAAACAATAATTAATGTATTTTCAATTGTATTTACAATATAAATATTGATATTATATTGCTAAAAGTATAAAAGACAGGTTATCAGGCTATAAATCATATACATATAGGCCCAGGTACAGCAGCGGTTATCTGTGAACAGTCCATGTAGTTTATTACCTTGCGATTAAATGGTGTATGTCGGTTGGGAGACAGGTATGATTGAGATGACAATTTAGGTAGATTGGCAAACTAAGACAATGGCTTTTTACTTCTAATTGAGGATGAAATGCTGACAATGGCTAAATGACAATAGTTTTGAAGTATTATCTGAATAAAACCATACAAAATAAACCTCAGCTAATAAGTAACTAATTAAGCAGGCTGTTAATACTTTTGATGATTGACACATACGCCTACATTTTGCATGATACAGCACACACTCTTCATTGTCCCAATGCTTCCCATCAAATCTGTTAAAGACTGTAAACCTCCCAGGACATAAGGTAATGGACACTGAATATTGATAGAGTTCTACCTCTCATGAGAACAATGCTTTTGCAAAAGGGGGTATATAACTCTGGAACCGAAAGTCCAATGCACAATGGTATATTAAGTCCACATGACAATGTGGGCATATATAAACTAAACAATTATTAATTGAAATATGACAATTACCGATATATACAAATTTACAAGTTTAAATATCTCAAAAATTTTATGTGAAAGTCGACCATCTCCATCAGTCAATCATTGTACACAACAGTCCTGTCTGCCAAGGAGAATCTGATTAGTTTGTGAGTAGCACATGACTCCTCACTGGTCCCTACTAAACAAAATTTGTAACCAGGAGCAATTTTATTTTCACTCTCCTGATATAACCATCTGCACTTTACTATACTTCCAGCTCCAGAACCAGTTTGCATAAAGCTCTTTCCAAATGCTGATCTAACAAAATACACAAATTCATCAACTTCAGGTTTGTTTCTTGAATGAATCCACTTGTTTCTGGCTTATATTATAATGCTGTTCAAAGCAAAATGTCTAATCTACTGTTCCCAAAACAACTGCATTCTGTGGTGGACAGAATAATTTAAATGTTTAGGACTAGAAACATTGTTTCTCTGGCTGCAGAACAACTATATTACTTCCTAATAATAATGATAAATCTGGTATTATGGGTGGTGAATTAAAAATCATCTTTATTATGACATAACATCATTTTCAATACTAAATTGAAGCTAA